ACAAGTCTCGCATCTACACTATCGACTATAAATATGCATTATGCGAATAGACATACCTGGAGCAAGTTAACCACCCAGTATATCGCTGAACAAGTAGGCAGGTAATTCTGTTTCAATTCAAGAACAGAAAGTTTACAAGCACAAAATGCTAAATGAAAGTAAAAGAATATCAATGGAAGTTTGAAAGAGAGAGAGAGAGAGAATGGTCACGAACCTTGATGATCTGCAGTGCAAGAAATGCAAACCAGACGAAAGCAAGAAGCCCAAACTCCTTCCAACAAACATTCTCGATAATTGCAACCTGAGACAATGAGATGCGATATCAAATGAACTTTTTTGGTAGTTTGAATATATTAGAAGAAGTTTGATGAAGTCTCTCACTGTTTGTTCTTCTAAGCCTTTACCATCCGTGTTGTTGCTAGGCCCACCAGGTAGAAGCTTGTATTCTGCTTCGTCTTTGCCTGAAAACCGGGATAAAATAAGAGATGCAATTCTAAGAGAATCTTGAGAAAGGAAAAAATTGGAATAATTTTATGAACCTACCATTTGCCTCCACTTGCTTTGCAGCTTCCTACAGAAAGAATCAATTGGCATTTAGAATGAAACCACATCAGAAATTTTAAAATGAAATAAAAATGAAACGAATTTTATTTAGTATCAGAGATTTCAAACTATTAAGTACAACAAGGCTTTTAAAACTCAATAATGGGCTGATGACAATCTCATGCAAAAACCAACAAGAAAATTAGATCTTAATATCAGAATAATACAGTCATCAAAACTCATACTCGGATACCAGTAAACAATTAACCGTATTATAAAAGATAAGAGAAGAATTCTAGTTACCTTCTTCAAGATAGTTTCTTTCTTCCAAGTTTCGACTCCTTTAAAGAAGGCCTTAGTTGATGTAACTGTAACCATCATATTTGGTCAATTAACAATCAAGATCAGGCTATCTATGTATATGTGTGTGTATGTATGTGTGTGTCTATATTACAACTTATCACCTATGAAGAGGAAGATTAGAAGAACAGTAACCATCCAATCTGCAAAAATCACATTGAAAGTAACTCCAATACTAATGCCTAGCATGAGCATCGGCTGAATAAGTACAGCCAAATCATAGTCGATAATCGGCATCTCAATGGTCGGATGTCTGAGCCTAAGGTTGTAATAAACAGTCGAGACTGCTGCGCCCATGATCATACCTGTCAAGTCACGAGAAGAAGAAAAACGCAAAATTGAAAACATTATAGCAACACCACAACAGAAATATTCACCAAACAAATATTTCATTCATTCTCAACACAACCAAAAAAAATAAAAAAATAAAAAAAAAATTAAAAAATCAAGAACGTGATTATAATCATCCATTTTCCACTGTAGCCCATGTTTATAACTTTTTGCCTTTCTAGTAATATTAAATTATCCATAATCCCATGTTCACTCAACTCAACGAAAAGGTTTAGGAGTAAAAATCAGGTCCACCAAAAAAAAAACTTGGCAACTAAAAATATATTAATAAAAACTCCATACATTTGGAAATAGCAGTAGCAGACTTAGGATCGAAACCAACAATGAGAGTAAGCATAGGAACAAATATTCCGCCACCACCAACGCCACCTACACTCCCAAAGGCAGCACCAAAGAATCCAATAATGCTGCCAATTACGATTTGCCAGTTGAATTCCAGATCCTGCAAATCATAAACCTCATTAATCTCCATTTTAAACCACTCAAAGTCAAAATAATGAATTAAAAACAGAAAACGTGATGAAAGATTCACTTCACACCGTAGACAAGTAAAGGTATAAAAGAACACACATATGGTACCCAAAAGTCCACGGTTTCAACTCCTAAAGATAATATGCCTTTTATCCTTCTTAGATTTGATTTGTTTGACATTTTTACTTGCACTATGCACTTAGGTACAACATGAATTATGATGAGTCAATTGTTAGACATGAGACAATCTCATCAATCTATAATCCATAATCACAGGATCATACAAAGTACACCAAAGGTCAATCTTCATTAATAGCCACAATAAAGGCCTCATAAATACACTCAACGACCGGAGACAGGGACAGAGAGAAAGAGAGTAAAATCAACACTGAACACAATCAAAACGAAACCAGCTCAAAACATGTATGCTGAACCAGACAAGATAAAAACTCACCGGCCAAACGTGTTGGTAACCTGATTTTTCCGCTTGCCATATGAAATTCACAAAAGCGGACAAAAAATCCGAATCAGAGTCTGGGACCGAAATCCCAGTTGCATTGCGGGACAAAGATTTCTGCTTCAAGCTCCTGTCCGCTGAAACAAATATCGAAGCCAATACGAAGCTCCCTACCACCGTAAAAAATGGTCCGAAGGCCTTCCACCTTTCCAGATTCCCTGCCATTCTACAATACCCAAGATCACACCTTTCGGACGATTTATTTAAACAAAAATAAAATTCACCTTCTCTTTTACACTTTATGACTCTTTTTCCCCACGATTTTAGATTTCGGGGCGGAATGAACAAAGCAAAAACAAAATGAATTTGCAATTCTTTCTACGAGTGTGTGTGTGTGAGAGAGAGGGAGAAAGAGAGAAGGATTATTACGGGGAAGAAGGTGGATGGGAAGAAAATATCGATAAGGTGCCATAAATAGAACAAGTGGAGGGGTCATTGAAAATCGGACAAAGGCAATAGATACACAGCACCACCAAACGACGTCGTATGGTCACCCGAATATACAGTGGGCCAATATGTCCACTTTCTGATACGTCGTCACTCAAGTGGAGCTGAATGTTTTAATCTGAATAGTTTTAACTTTTAATCCGTGCATTTGCAGAGCAAACAATATGATAAAGGAAAATATATTCTTTTTAAATATCATTTTAGTTTTATCAACTATTAATCAAAATAAATGTCGTTTTGCATTTTTTGTACATATTTTTCTATTATTACCCTTATTTAGTTAATAAATACACTATGTCTTTTCATATTCTCGTCATCTTTTTTTTTAAAACATTCATCTCTATCTTCATTAATGAGAGTTATTATTGACAAAAAAATTATTCTTAATTAGTGTGCAATTTCCCAAAATGACACTTATTATGAATAGGAGGGAGTATTCAATAGTAAAAATTATAACATAATCATTGAAAAAAAAAGTAGTTTTAAGAAATAAAATATAAATATTATTATACACCTCTGTTCGTGATTTTTGTATCATCGTTTTCGTATCATACAGTATTTATTATAATGACATACAGACAACAATTAAAAAAAATATATACCAGGTTCTTAAATGATGGAATGCGAATTGTTAGAGACTGTCGGTATTTGGAACCGGAGTGACATTATGTAATTATGCAATAAAATTTATTTTTAATAATTTCAAATACAACTTCTACCTTTTTCACATAAATTGATATAGTTAAATTATGTAATAAAATTTAATTTTAAAAATTTCAGATACAAATTAATTTTTGAGCATTTTAAACTATTTTGGGCCAGTCATTAAAGATTTGGTCCATTCGAATTTTGGGCCAGTCAGTAAAAATGAAGCCTGTTTTAAAGTTTTGTTTATAGCCCGGTCAAAAATACGCATGTGAATTTATTACAACGACAGGTGCCCCACACACGTGTCAGACGAATATATAAATGAGGCAAACCCTAGTGTGGCGTGAAATCACGCCATTTCTTTTCTTCATTTCGACGACAATCTATCTCTGTCTCTCTCCTAAATCTCATCCGACGACTCAAACCCCATTTCTCTGCATTTCTAAAGAAAATTTCAGCGATTATGAAGCCCAAACATATGATTTTCCGCGATTTGTTCCGTTGAACGACTGGAATGAAAAACACTTCGAAAATCAGTTTTCGAGGACAAAAAGAGATCGAAAAATAAAAATTAATCCGATTTTGAAAAACTAACTTATTGAAGTATAGTATTTCGGTTGTAATCGGACAATTACAAATAAGATACTTGAAGATCTATCGTTTCCAAAACATTTTTTGGATTTTTTTTAAGAAACACAAAGTAGACCAGATTTACGAAATCGACTTACTGATTAATAGTAAATCGGTTTCAATCGGTCGATTACAGCTAAGATCTATCAAGATCTATGCATTTCGAAAATTTATATGTTCAGTTTGTTTTTAAAAAACAAAGAACCTTTTTAACAGATCTAATATGATATGTACATTTCGAAAATAGTTGTGTTCAATTTTTAAAAAAATAAATAAATAAATAAACAAACCGGTCTATCAATGCTTTTCCAAAAGATTTATGTTCAATTTTTTTAAAAATATTTACTCTTAAAACATATCTTATAATATCAACACCTTTAAAACATATCTACTAAGATCAAACACTGGTTTTTTTAATTTATGTATATTGTATACTTTTATTTTATTACAAATGTTGATTTTATGTAATTGTTTTAAATTTTGCAGATGATTTTACACAGACCACCAAGTGTATAAGCAGACCTCTTCTACAAACAGAAGACAAAAATAGGTAATTTTTAGCCAACGGCCCAAACCAAAAACACGCCTAATAAAAGAACAGGAATAGAAAACTGAGAGGACACGCACATGGCGGCCTAGAGAACTCCACAACCGAAAATAAAGGAACATAAATAACAGAGCCACTGCACAATGCCTAGCCTGTATTCATATCCAAACAAAGACAAACAAACACACAGACCAACTAACGAACAAAAATCACAGAAAATAACAAACAAACACTAAGCACACTAAAAAAGCCCTTCCTAAGCAGCGTAACCAAGCTGAGCCAGTGGATACCAAGTCGACCAAGAGTGAGTCCCACAGCCAAAAGGAACCGACCCGAAACTGCCCAACACCAACTCGGTGGCCTAACGAAGTCTAATTCCAAGCCCCGAAACAACACCTAAAAGCAAACTCGAACCACAACCACCATACCTAACTGCCAGAGAACCGCCACTGAACCGAATCCTCTAACACCACTAGTGAGTCCGTCAGTCACCGGCAAGCCCCCCCGAGCCACAGAGCATGAGACCAGGGGAGAGAGCAACCAGATGTCGAGGTAGCAGCCTCGACCCCCGAACCACCTGGAACCGCCAAGATCCTCCGCCCACCACTGCGCCCTCCCGTCCAACACCACTGGCCGGAAGATAAAGCAATGGTCCTCCCTGACCCAACGCCAGAGTACAAGGGGGGAAAGGCTAAGAAACGCGGCGGAGCTCCGATCATCCGACAACGACGCTGCCGAACGACCGAGGAACCACCTACCCAAACAAAATACACCCTAACCACTGCCTCCACAACCCAGGTAGCCGCCGGATTGAGCTCGAAACGTCGCCAGAGCCGAAGACCTTCCGAGGCCAGAAGCAAACCTGAGAGCGACGGCCATAGGCGGCGCGATTTATCGGGGAAGGGCCAAGCAATCGAGGGCCGACCACCAGCTCATACTCAATCGCCGCTGAGGAAGGCGTACCGGCACAGATTTGAAGGAGACCGTTGAGGATTGAGATGAGGGGAAAGGGGAACGGCGCAGAGCAGGGATAGGGTTTTGATTTATAAATCTGACTATGTTGAATTTATATTTTATATTGAGGTTAAAAACATATGACTATGTGTTATCAGTATAAAAAATGAATATTTAAAATATCAATATATAAAAATTAAATGAATTTCCAATATCATATATGTGTAACATTATTACATTGTACAAAACTTTATACCAATATTATTATAAAATTATTGTAATTTAGCACTAATTTTTTATATCAATTGCAGGAATATCAGCAGACGATTGGAAATTCTATATTGAATATATGGGATATTGATTGATTTGTAAAAGATTTGTATTAATAATGTGATATATTGATTTTACCTTTAATATTTTTTTTTTATTTCTTTTTTTGCTTAGCACATTTCTTTCTTTGTTTTTTTATGGGGATGCTAAAAAAATTGAAATGTTAAAGAATTAAAACCCAAAAATTTTGGTTTTCCAACCAAGATTTTTATAATTAGTGTAAAAAATATTAATTGCCAAAATATTAATGTGAAAGAAAAGTAATTAACATACCATATTTAGTTAATAGAAGCATGGGCCGGAAAACTACATTATAAATGAAAAAGCTTATCTTTTTAAGCCAAAAAAAAGTTCGGGTGGGAAAATGTCACCTAGGTTTTATTAAATAGGTTATATTAAATGCTAAGCTAGTAATTATAAATAAATAGATAAGTAAGATTCACTCCTTTTTGGGGTGTAAAAATGTTGACACAAAATTATGAAGTTGTACGGTTTAAACAAACATTAATTGATTGACGTATGATCATGATTGATTGTCCTTTTTTTTTTTCCTTTGGCGCAAATCAAAACAATTTACGCATTGAATTATATTTTTCTCTTTCTGGAGATCTTGTACTTAAATCTCAAATTTAGTCATCGTCCTTCGTCATTTGCCACCTGCCTCCTTCCAGCGGGGAGTTCTGCGCGGTCATGCTGCGCCCTCCGTAGATCAGGGCCCCTAGCCTTTCGTCAACGTGGGGATTTTGCAATCGTGCTTTGCCGAGCTGTGATGCTCCGGCTGGCCTTCAAGGGCTCAAGGTTTTTTGACGTCTCAATGGCGTGGCTGAGCGACGTACTCTATCTTCTGCCGGGTTGAGGTCGGAGTAGATATGAATTCCCTTTCCACCCTCATTGTTTTACTTACCTGGGTTGGTAGGTTTGTCTCTACCAATAGTGGTTGGCCGTCGTCGATGGCTGCTCGACTGTAGCTGTCTGTGGTTGTCGAGGGGGTTAGAGCTTGGGGCTTCAGTGGTGCCCTGCTCCATCTCTAGTTTCTCAGTTGTCTCTAGGGTTGAGAGACGGGCTGCAGTGGTGGTGATGGTCAAGGGCTCTGGTCATTGGTTGGCTTCGAGTTGCTGGTCAGAGGGGGTTGTTTGAGTCTGGGTCTTACTTCCATTTCGCTGATTCGTGGGTGACTACCTGGGAAAGTTTTCGGGGCGAGAGTATGAGATCATGTTAAGCATTCTCTGCAGTTTCAGGTCTCGGTGCTTTGGCTCAGTCTTTTGTCTGTTTGGGTAGGAGCTCTCGGTGATGGCGGTGGGGTTTCGCGGAGCTTACTTTCCTCTTGTAGAGGATGGCTCTAGT